TCATGTGAGCTTGGTCTCGTAGGTCTCGGCAGGGCATGCAATTATTATCATTCACCTCTCGAACCTCTCGGTTCATATGGTTTCATACAGTTTTTTTCAGCATACTCATTTTTCTGAAGTTACTGAGGTTAAGAGACCTACAGCTAGTTCTTGTAGAAGTAACCGCTCGTACTGCGAAGTTTTCCGACACCGATCAATACATTTAATTGAACACTTATAGAAATATGAATGCTAAGAAATAAAATAGAAGGTAGAAGTTGAGCCTTCGACGTGCCGATATACCGTACTGCACACAGAGAGATTACAGATCAGATTACAGAGGATCAGACCTGCAACGCGACCTCTGCCATTGACCACAGGTTATCCCCACCCGCAGCAATTATAGGAAACGTCGAAGCAGCTTAAACTGATCTGTAATTTACTAGTAGACTTTACGGTTAGTCGGTCGGCTGGTTGAGCTATTCTGAAAGAAAATCTGCTCAGATTTGGCGTTGGGAGTCTCCTTCACCACCATTCGTCCCCTCCTGCCCTTCTCCTTCCCCCTCCGCGGTTGGGTGCGTGAGGGTGGACACTGCCAGTCAGGCCCCATTTGTCGACGCGTGATTAATTATCCCCGTGTCATCAATATTGGTCGCATCGATCATCATCCGGTGGCACTGTGCGGCAGCTCAAACGATCATTCCCCGGGGCCACACAGATCGGTAACGTCATCTTTATGTATGACGCAGCCGGCGCCGCACGGAACGGGAGTCGATGTTTAGGGAGAACGCAAGAAGCAGTGGCTTAAAGTCCCGTTGCCGTGGCTTGGAATGGATAAAGATATTTGCTATACTCGTAATTGTTTGATCCTGCAAATAATAATCAGGGAAAAGGTGCCTATTCACGCAGATATGCGCTTCTCGCACAACGAAACTTTGCCATTGAAATTCTAATTACGTTGTTTTAATTGGTTTACTTCCGTGGTCCTCTGCTCAGGATGATGAAAACCAAGATGAACACTTCCTTACATCGTACCCTGTCACGGGTGAAAAATGGTGCAGCACAGGGCTGCGTGCAAAAACTAATTACGCTACCATCCCAGGTGAACCATTAATTAATTTGTACGCAGTAAATGTTGTGTCTGAAGGTGTCATTACTGTCAAAGGGTGCTGTTGTGGGTGACTGTGCTTCCATGGACCTGAATTAATTATGTGAAAGGCTTCAGTTACTGGGTGATAAATCATCCTGGTAAGAAGGTAGATTGTATGGACAGGTACAAACTAGAAAGTGATTGTTCCTTTAGATATCCTGAACAAGTTTTTTTTCTTCTACGAAACTATAAAAGATGGGCAGAAAATGTCCGCACACAGCCAGCGCAGAAGTATGACAGAGGGAATCTGCCTCCGAACAACGCGATAGCTGCAACGTTGCGACTTTGTTGTGGGCATTGCACTTATGACTGCGACGCGGTACCAATAGTGGCAGTTAAAGGTAGTGTGCCACCTTTGAAAGATTTCCCGTTTTATTTTTCCTAGGATAAGAAGCTTCTGTTTTTACCTAATATCGCAAAAAAAAAAATCAAAAATGGGCCTGGAATAGTGCCTTTTTCGCCTAAAAGTTTATCGGTTTTTAGATATGTATAACAACTGTAGTGGGCTCACCTGCAAACAGGCGTCGGGCAACAATCGTTGCCCGACGCGGCGCATGCGGCGCACTTGTGACAATAAGCAAAGGTCATTATAGTGTTACGACCATACGACGTACGGGAATGAGTTATCAGCTGTCTAATCGTAGACAACACAATGTCGAGCCTTAAACTGTAAGCCCGTATTGGTATTGTTTCTTAAATTTGGCTGTCGAACATTAATTTGTGGTTTGAAATATGATTTTATGTAAAATAATTGATATGAAACAGCCGTCTCTTAAGTTATGACCCCATTACACCACACGCAAGTGGCAGAAATGACAATGATCAGCTGACGCATTTTTCTTGGCCGAAGTCAGAGCGCGCGTCCCGGCATATTTACGTCTGGACAACGAGTTGCGGGGAAAAGTGCTGATTTTGTTGCAGTTTTAGGAGCCGGTGATTAGGCTTGATTTTTGGGTTACTTTTTCGTTCCGATTCATGTATTTCATAGTGTTTGGCTTTTGAATATTTTAGTTCTTTCTGATAAATATTACTTGCCTTACAATTTTTGTAAAAACGTTTTATTTTTTATAAGCCGACCTCCAGAGTCCTAAAAATACATCAGCACTACAATCATTGTAAACAAACAAATGGAGCACCACTTGGATCTGTTCCAATGCGCTTTTTAAGTTTATCTGGTGGTTTCCGTACTCTTGTGCGTCTTTTTGTTGGATGTTTTGAATCCCTTAAGATTGACTTATATCATATTTAAGAAGCATGTGACTGAATACAATCCGAGGTATCCAGGAGGCTGACAGAGGTCCTGACTCCTGAGCATTGAGCAATATCAATATCAAGTAGAACTTGAAGTTATGAAATTTTGGTTGATAAACGCAAGTTAAACAGGCTCATATATCAGCAAGAAAAAGTAAAATTAAAAGAGCTTATTGGCCGAAAACAAGCTATAATATTGCAGATCTTGGAGTAATACTGAAGAGCGCGCTGAGCAGGACAGGATCATGCCAGAAAATGTTGACTGATGAGCGCACTGCGCATATTGATGTATTGGTATGAATATTGAATGATAACTTACAACAGCAAGATAAATTAGTGCTATGAAGTTAAAAATCTAGAATGAATGGACTTTGGCAGCTGATACTATGCTTAGATGCTATGCAGCTTGTAATGTGCATCAGGTAGGTACTCAGTGTCTGGCAAATGAAACATGCGATCATTCCATTGCTACTGGAGGAGAAAGCTTGGATCACTAAATCCACTTTATGTTGATTTTGATGTTAATCATTACTGTATTTCTTGAAAAAAGGATTGTTATAAAATTGTCAATGTGACAATCCATGCAACGATGTGATCATATAATGTGTTCATAGTCATTCGTGATAGTGATTGTTGGTCCAATATACAATGGCAAAGCTCTCAGTCTCAGCGTTTCTTCCTGTGGATGGCCAGCAGTGACTCAGAGCTTAGAAGTATTAGTTTTCTTCACAGGGCTGGGATAAAAAAGGTACTGAGGGTTATCTTCCACCAAGGAACTCTACCTTGACATGGTACGAGATGTAGGCACAAGTAGGTAGGTGCTTAGTTTGTATAGTCAGCAGTTGTGTAGGTTTAGTCGGGTTAGCTTAGATAAGGTTATGTTAGTTTTTTATTTGCCAAGTGTCCATAAAAATGTGACCTGAGCAATGAGCATACCTGAATAACCTGACAGCTTACCTAACCTCAATCATCACACATATTTGCAGCCTACCCAAGACCTGCATAGCAGTAGCACCCAGTTATAGGTAGGTACTCAACCTAACTCAATCTTACCTGCTAACCTTCAACTTGCCAATAGTTAGCTCACCTTGCCAAGCTGCATCCAGGGAAACAGTCAACTGAGGAACTGGCTCATTGGGTGGCTGGTGTGAGTCTGTGCATTTAAAGTGTTTCTTCTCTGAAGCTGCTCTGCACTGCTGTATGTCATGTTAGATGCTCAGAAAATGTGGGAAATGATTACTAAGCTACTTAAGTGCTTTGTTAATGCTCGAGACATGAACAAGTACAGATCCTGCAGAGTGCAGGGTACAGCTATGAGTTAGGTGCCAGGTGAGTATGTTATGTGAATGTGCTGTTCCCTGTTTGACCATAGTAAGTATACAAACAAGCACAGTGACAGGGTCACAGTTATATTCAATTATTCAATCTACACATAAACAGACAACAAAAACGGCCATATAGCCTCACTCCGAACACACCACAAAGAACTTTAGCCTTTGTAGGCACAAAAATGCTTTGATTTACAGGACAGGTATACAATATAGGTATCCTCTGTCCTTGGGGATCTTGCTGCCAAGTTGAGGTACGATGACTGAACTTCAGGATTGATCAACCTTTTCTTCTTAGCCACTGCTTATATACGAGAAAGACCAAATGCTTGTTTGTAAACTGCCTTGAAAATTTAAAGATCCACCTTCAATTCTGACATGAAGGCACAAATAAAATAGTTCCCTCTCCTTTTGGAATACACAAAGCAAAATATTTAATAACTTCTACTTCTAGTGGATGGACATTGGACAAGAGCAATTCAAATTAGCATATCTCCCACTCAAGTTATCTTCTGGCACTGATGAATTACACTGACGCTTATTCGCTTCATATTTTGTAACAAACGCGCTAAAACTGCAATATAACAGCACTATATGCTTCTTGACAAAATGCAAAAGTAGTAAAAATTTAGCCCTGATGGCATTCATTCTTGGTGGAAACGTAGTTACAAAATATTTTGTAGTAGCTATTAAATTCTGGCCGAAAACAGTGCACGGTTTAAAAAAGAATCATTCCAATGACGGTCCATTCTTGCGGTCCTGAAATCGCCACTATTTCCGGCCTCTCCAACGCAACTCGTTGTCCAGACGTAAATATGCCGCGGCCCGACGCACCACGCGTATTTGGAAATTCCGACCTCGACGAGCATCAGAAGCCACCTAACAGGCGTGTTCGAAACCGCAGGAGATGATGATGAACGGGTTTATCGAAACTTGATTGGATGAGCCTATCGGTAATAGCGATTTTAGTGTGTGCATTTATTGTTCATAGTGGTGTGAAATGTGGTTGGGGTACGACCGACAACCCGTCGGGGCGAATTTCGCACTGGGGTACTCAAAATTTGAAGAATTTAAGACGTTTCCATAAGTTTTGAAGGTATGGATAAGTTCTAAAAATCCGGTTCTCCTTATCCCGGTCATTAACTCCATATGGTCCAAGAAAGCTGGCACACTACCTTTAAGAAAGGCAGCTTTCAAATCAGTGACTGACTTTCTAAATCTTGTGCCTGAACACCACATTCAGTGCATGGGCCTTAGTAATAAATGACACCCTTTGTTCTGTATCATTCCAGGTCGGGTACAGCAGATCGACATCACGGGCCTGGTCGGGGACTCGGTCAGACTGCCCTGTGAAATCGACGAGGAAAAGTGCGGCGAGGTACACAACATCCAGTGGTACCGCGGCGACGGAGACACTCGGGTCTTCATCTACTCGGAGCTGGCCAATGTTGACACCAGCGAGAACATGCTTCAGGGCAGGTATGGTGCCGAATCGCTGGAATATCCTTCAGGTCAGGTATGGTGCCTAGAGGCTAAAAACTATGTCTGCTTCGGGGATGGCATTGTGCTGGGACTTGGGACATGTTTCGGGACTGGTATGGCAATGGCATCGAAACTCTATGACATACTTCACGATAGGCATGGTGCTGAGGCTCCAGGGCCTTGTTTCATAAAGCGAGTCCGTAACTTACGCCGGTTTTTTGGTATTGTATTGCAAGTGCCTGTGAAGCGATGACGATAGCTTGAATCGTTGAATTTATTTATGTTGCAAGCAAGAACAGAAGGGAGAAGGGCAAATGAATTTATCGCCTCACATGCGCTTGCAATACAAGCCCAAAAACTGGCGTAAGCTACGGACCCGCTATATGAAACGAGGCCCTGAGGATATCGTTCAGGACAGGTCAGTTATGTTTCTCAGAAGACTCCGGTAAATCGGCGTTGCTGCGGGTCAAATCGGTTGTTCACCGGCCATCTTGGAGCGGCGGAAATTACCGCGTAAATCGTGTCATCACAGGGCAGGACGCTCCACTCCATCAACCGGGATGTGCGGAGATTGAGTCACACTAATTAGCCTGAAGGACGCATCGTTAATTTTATTGACCGTGGAATCCTAGCGCACCGGGTGTTGGTTTTACATGTGCGAGTTGCTAGTTTATGTATTATGCATGATATGCTTACGAGCAGCTGTTTGCATCTCATGAAACACCAATACGTTATTAAACCTACATCAAATACTCGTTGTGATCAAAATATAAACCCCAGTATAAGGCCAATGTGAATATCGCGTTGATCAAAGGCCGATATATTGCAGAAAATGAAGCTAACGAGGCCAACATTTACATTACCGAAACATTTGCTATTTCCTTGATAACAGATAAACGCTTATGTTGAGGCCTTTGTATGTCAGCTACAGGCAATAAACGAGAGCTCCTACTGAAAAAATCGTATTGGTCCACATAAAAGCAATGAAGAAAATCTTACATGTAAGAACAAATGCCTTCAATCGAGCAGCAACTACTCGGCTGGGTCGTGCTCTGCATTATTTATATATAGGTAGTAGCATAGACTACTACATATCTATGTATAAATAGACTACATATCTATGTACATATCTATGTATCTATACATATCTATGATATGTAGCAGTCTATGGTAGTAGCAATGCAATTAATTCACAAATTAAAAACAATCATTCCAACACACTCTTGCGTTGGACTACATTCACAGCTAACGGTATCACAGCTAACTGTCATCCTCCCATTTTCCGGAATTCGCGCCCCCCCCCCCCCCTTCCCACTAGCTCGCATATCAACGCCGCCGCCCGACCGTCGTCTGCAGTGTGTCGCATCAGGACGCCATTTGTCTCAGCAAATCTCAACCAGGCGCCCTGTGAACGGCTAATAAATTACCACAAGCGCTCTCCGATCTTTCCCACACACCAGAATCGATGCATGCCGGCCGACAAAGATAGTCCGCGGGTAAAGGATTTACTCGTTGTAAGTGGCATTGGTGGTGCTTTGCTGTGGACTGCGCTGAGAACGGCTCAGTTCTGATACAGCGTGCTCGCTTTGATGTGTGGTGTGAATGCCTATAAAAATTGTTTGTCATTTGTTATATTTGTTCGGGGACTGGGACGGACGATGTAAAAACGAAAACCATGGTCATTGGTTGCCCACCGTATAAATGATCTATCGTTTATTTCAGATGGTGCTTGCAAAATAATTCTAAATATTTTATTTAATCCTAAATAAAATGCAATTCGTATCAACCCTGCAGCCCCGCCATGATACACACAGACGTCTGGAATATTTTCGAGTGATTTCTCTGCAATTAGACAAGATAGCCGTCTGGAAGATGGCCGGGGGAGGCTGGACTCTCTAACTAGAGTTGACTGCTCTGACAGGGCTTTGGAGGAAATAATAACTCAGTTCATTCAGCAAAGGGATTATGAAAATAAACAATGTAGTAATCAGTTGAACTAATCGTATAATCTATTTTATGTTCCACTGCAGATCCTTAACCGATCTTGGTCCCATTGAGACAGCAAGTATTAACTTCAGTTTGTCTTTTCCAGAGGCTTCTTTGAATACATCAAGGGATCCCCAGTATCGGAACTGCAGATCCGTAACCTGAAGGCTGATGACGAGAGCTTGTACAAGTGTGAGCTGACGTATCTGGAGGTCCGCGACAACTGTGCCGTCATTCAGTTCGTCAACCTCACCACCATAGGTAAGTTTAGGCCATGAAACACATGTAGCAGTACTGCATTTCTGATGCTGCTTTATTCACCTCCTTGGACAATAAAACAGCTTGTGTCGCCTGTCACGGTAAAAAGTAAAACGTGTGTAGTAATTATGAAGGAATGCATACAATATGCCCAAGCGAACCCTGCTTTGATTTGGGATATCATTCTGTGGCACTCGGAAGACCTGGGAATCGGCTATAATATCTTACCCTGACCGTAACTGATATGAGGCGAGCGCCGAGCAGGCATCACGGGTCACAATGGCGTGTCAGGACACAGGCCATCGCCAATGACCCTAATTGAACGACAAACATTGTTGCCAGCCAAACGGCCGATCCAACCGTTCGACGATGACCCTTTGGAAGATACGGGACAGCACCAATAGCCGCACTGGTCTGTGGGATCGTGTTCACCATGAGCGGCACCACCAATTCGGCTGGCCGTCCCGAACAAACTGCCGTGTATATCGGCCACCGAGCTGTCTCGAATGCTCCGCTTTCCGAGCTGTGTGACGTCTCGGATCCACTCGCGTTGATCCCGGGGTGTGCAGGGAGCGGTTGAGAACGGGCCAGATGCAGCGGCTCGCAACCGTCCAAAGGCGGTGGCAGGGAATGAAGGGGACTGAATATGGTAATGGCAACTGTGCGCGGTGGCTAGTTATCTGGTGAATGCATCTATCATATGGGACACAAACGGCGTGAATGAATCCAAAGCCAAGTCCTGCGCTTTAATTGAGAGGAAGCAGAGTTCGAGTAAAGCGATTCGACACTAATGTACGCATTTACCGCATTGCTATTTCGTTTCAGTTCAACTTAAAAATACAAATGTCTGTTTTGGAATTATCATTTTGACTTTTGAAACGTTACTGATTATGGCTCGGCATGTTACTAGGGTACAGATATCAGATACAAGTGAAATTGCTCCAAATTGAAGAGCACGATAAAATCGCCATCCAATCTGGTGGTTGTCCCGAGGGGTCGCCTGGTCTGATTCGGTTGTCTGTAATGTCACTACTTTGTTTCTGGCATCAAGGGCAACCGCTTACAAATAGTCCAATTATGGACGGGGTCATCTCAACAAGTCCATAGCAAAGCAGTCAGTTACTGGGCTGCCATGAGAGAAGTTCGTCATCCGCATCCAAATAAGACATTGGACAATAATGTTTGTACGCATCTAGCGTATGTAGCGTAGCTGTCTTGCTGTCTCAGCTTAAACACTTGAGAATATAGCATCTGTTGACCCTAGTCCTACACAGTTGTATTCTTTTCCTAACGAGGTCTATGAAGAGAGACATTGCATTTGTCAAAATTTAGTTTGTCTCACACCAAAACCGACGTCACAAAAGAATATACGCCGGTCAGCAACAGAAATAGACATTTGCTAAAACCAAACTATAATTGATTTTATTCATAGGGCTGCGGCTATCGTGACCAACCGAGGCCGTTTCAGTGTCCACACCGCTATATTCTAAGCTCGTCACCGCTGTATTCACAGCCAAACCGAAGAAGGCCAGGATTCTGCTGAAGGACGGCACGGAGGCCGGCTCTATCATTGGTCCGTTTGAAGAGGACGCCCAGCTGTACCTCAAGTGCGAGTCGGCTGGGGGCAAGCCGGCCGCCTCCGTCACCTGGTGGAACGACACCATCAACATGGGAGGTCAGACAATATACCAGAAACATGGGGTCATTGGTGTTTCACTTTCTTTCGGGCAGACGAATCGCATAAAACTCATTTCAATTTGCCCTTTTTCGTCTTGTAAGATGGAGTTCTTTTAGAAATAAATACAGTAACCATGGCTCTTACTACACCGTCAATCAACAATCCTCGGAATCTTTTGCTGCCAATATTCGGTACAAGCCGGGGTGTTTGAACTCAAATTCCCGGGATCAGCCATGGTCATTGGCCATCTTGTTTCAACAGAGCACGAGGCAAAATATTATTGGTGTTCGATGACTTTCTCTAGCATTCGTTTTACTAGATGCAGAATTTATAAAATACAAAATTGTATGTCAACATCCTTACGGCAGTCAACAATCTAAGCGCCAGACACTACAAATGATCATTTTTCTTCCCACGCCACTCGCTCTAAAGATAGAATCTTTGGGAGTCATTTTCAATACATTGGTTATTCATTCTGACAAAGAATGATCAGTCGCTTGATTTCCAACGACACAAATAGAACGGATGATTAATATCAGAGCCCTGAATATCGCTTAGTGGACAAAACACTCCCTGCTGCCACTTGATGTGGTTAAGGTCATAAACCTTCTACCCAAGAGTATTACGACCAGCAAGGATTTTCGTAGCAAAAATAATACACATTATGTGCATTTCGTTCGAGCCAAATTCGTTTCATGTTTTTCTCACAATTGACCCGTACTGCTTTTTCACATCATCAGGTGTCGCGAGTTCTACTCTGTCCCCCGACGGCACTGCTGTGACCTCGAGCGAGCTGCGCACCACGCTGACCCGATATGACCTAGAAGCCAGCTTCGAGTGTCAGGTCAACAACGTGGCGCTGAAGAACCCCCTGCGGTCCAGGGTTTACGTCCTGCTGCATGGTGAGACACGGGGAACCGAGAAGGGTTTATCTGTAAATATTATGATGTTATGCTCATGATACAATGAAATGATAGCCCGGTTTCTTTTTCTAACATCATAATATTCATCATGTTTTCTAACATCATAATATTCATAATTATGCTCAAACTAGCCATAGCTCACCTCCAACGAATTTATCTGTAAAATTTGTGGTCGGACCTGATAGAACAAACGCAAGTATGAAAAGCATTTCATTTTTTTTTATCTGCAGACTGGTTATGGGACGTGTTATTTGACGTTCAGCTGTGCTTTACTAATTTTGCTTTTATGGAAACGTAAAGTGAACTTGGTTCCAATCGATTTCAAAACAACAACCCCGATCCGCAAATACATAAATTAAACATTCCAGAAGGCCGTTCGGTCTACACCACAGTCCCGTATGGTCACTGGTCATTTCGCGACGCAGTAGCTGGAGAGGTATTACGCATCGAGAGGTAGGAGAGTTATGAGGAAATTTCAACGTAATATCACCATTGAATGGAACTATCACTTGGTCCTTAGCTGATTGAACTCTTGGGACTCACTTCTTGTTGTCCACACCCTAGCCTTGTGCTGGTATACTGAACATTCCCTTTGCATTCACGACGGTGACCCCTCATCTCTCCCGCAGTGCGCCCGCTATCCGTTCAGCTGACGGGTCTGAACGGACCCGTGCTGGCCGGCACCAAGGTCACGCTGGTCTGTGTGGCCAGGGGTGCCAAACCCCCCGCTAACATCACCTGGTCGGGGTGGCCCGGCACCGGCCTGCCCAAAACGACCGTCTACACCCAGGTAAGGGATTCATTGGGGATGCGTGCCCCTGACAATTTTACTGGTAGTCTTGCTAGGCTTGATACTGGAACCACTTTCTGATTCACCAATTATCAACTGTAGGCATTGTCTATCTCTGTTGAATACTCAACACAGACACTACTGGTTCTTTTACCATTCACGTAGCGTTATATCTGAGCTTAACGCTTCCTTCTCTGACCTCGCCCCGTCTCTGACAGCCGGACGGCACTACTGACACGGTCAGCAGTCTGACCCTGACCGCCACTCGGTCAGCCCACCTGCGGACGGTGACCTGTGAAGCCTCCAACCACGTCACCAGGGTCAAGGCAGAGCCTCCACACAGGGCGGAGGTCGTCGTCAAGGTGCTATGTGAGTACGCAAAACTCAATACCAAAAGTGTCAATAGTACACTGTTGGTGTGGAGCTAGAGTATCGTGATATCAAACCAAGTTCCTTCAGTAGCACAATAAGGTGTGTTTGAAAGTCCAGGGTACCTATTAAAACCAGGCTTGAGTCAAGTTTATTTTCATACACTTCACAAAAATGCAAATTTTTGTCGCAGACGCTCCGGTAACGACCGTCAGTCCAGCGGAGGCGGCCGCGAACGAAACGGACGACGTGTTACTGTTCTGCCGGTACGACTCGAACCCAGCCAACCTGACGACCGTCGCATGGTGAGGAGGGGTGTCTGTGGACGGTCGGGTAGATACGAGGGTAGAAGATAGCAATATTAGAGGTTCGCACGAATTAATTTCATTATACCGATCACTTCCTAGGGTTTACGGATTTCGAAACCTTCGGGCTTATAAGATTATGCAGAAGATGAAGCTTATCTGATGAGAATCTGTGAAGTTGCTCGTACTGAATCGACACCGAGTAAGGTACTTTGGTCTTTGACTATTGGCCGCACTATCAGCCCTCTGATGTGACGATGCATGCAATGACCCTGGAGGGAATCCCGATAAGACGACCGCACTATGAGCCACTGATCGCGGGTACTTTGCCGTGGCTGCACGCCGCCCTCATGGTTCGTACCTCTCAGATTTGGACCGAGATGGGAAATGGAATTGTCCGTGAGATCGTCCGGTCAGATAGGAGGGTAATCCCCACTTTGTGACGTCACTAGAGGTCAACTGGGGTGTTTTGGGTCGATAAAACAATGCTGCACTTACGTTTACTGCATTTGCAGTGCCATTTACGTCCTTTACCTAGATCTTCCAACTTGTAGTAAACCTTTGAGAAATGATGATGCTACCGCTAGTTTCTCTTCTGCTGTCAGGTACAAGGACGGAGTTCTGCTGGATCTGTCAAAGACAGAAAAGTTTGGAGGCGGCACGCTGGAGAACCCGTCGCTGCTGATAAAGAACACGTCTCGCCGGGACGCGGGACGGTACCGCTGTGAGGTGGCCAACGACGTCGGCGTCGGCAGGGCCGACAACGAGGCAGCAGTTCACGTCCAGTGTGAGTATAGACAGAAAAAAGCGGACAGATGCGGTTCATGTGCTTCATTCATTGCGTTGCTTAGGCTCAATTTTAGCGCACATTATAAACTGTTTTCTTTTTACAGCGGAATTGTCCCGTTCGTCTTTTTTGATAGCATCAAATAAAAAATAAATATAAAACTCTGAGTACTGGAAGGATAAAGAAATGTTGTGTGTCAGTTCTGCCGGGTCTGTGAAAGGGCTTGTCAGAACCGTCAGAAGTACACGTGCAGTGAGGAAGGACGACTGTAAACAAACTCGCTGTCAGAAGCAGAGAGGAAACCTCTCAGGCTGGCGGAACTCACCCACAGGGGACTTTCTGGGAGCAGAGTATTAGCTGCGTTGTGTTTGATCTTAAACTGTTGGTCTATAGGTGATAGATAAAATGCTATTTGACAAGCAAAAATATTTGTTTGCATTCTTAGTCTTAAAGATATGCCTGAGTGATGACTTTCCGTAGAGGAGAGTCATCTTGCTTACATACACGACAAGAGCGGATCAACCAGCACAGAGCACCACTCGCTGAAATCGTTCGTGTTCCTCATAGTTCCTCCGGAGGTCCGACTGAGCGTCACTCCCAGTGAAGTCATCGAGGCTGACCGTAGTGACGTCACTCTAGTGTGTGACGTCACTGAGGGTGACCCTGCCGAGCTGCAGGCGGTCCGCTGGTACAGAGACGGAGAGCTGCTGGCAACGCCGGCGCCCTGTCAGAGGCTGGCTATCGGTGAGGAGGGGTTGGCTTTTTGTGATCCCGTGTGCTCGTTTAAGTGGTGTTACAGCTGAACGTTTTCCCTCAATTTTCGCCATTAACGATATCAAAGTAGAAAAGAGAGGCGCTGAAAATGTCGATAAAAATCCGGATTTCTTACTACGTTTTGTTTAAGCATTAGCATTAGCAGTCTTTTCGCTGTTTTCCTTATCGGTGTTCAGTCAGATCAGATGTCATTTGGAACATAAGTGTGTTCCAATCCAATACCACGAATGCATGAACTGTGAATGGAACGGAACTCCTCAAATACCCTCCTCACAGTTCCATAGCCTCCCCATGGCCATGCTCTATTTCATCTCAGTGTTGTTCATCTTTCTCCCATATCTCTTCCAGCTCCGGTCAGTGACCGGTCGGGCGGCGCGCCGTGTACCGACGGACCCTCCCGTCTGCTCCTCTCGGCGGTCAGCAGGGCCGACATGGCCAACTACAGCTGCCAGGGACGCAGCCGGGCCGGCTGGGGACCCCGCTCCGTCCAACAACGTCTGCTGGTCCAGTGTGAGTGGCATGTACTGCAGTGTGATGTGACTTGCTCGGCTTGAACTGAGGGCCAGGGAGACGGTGCTTTGTGGTTTCGGCCAGCGTTGTTGACGTCCTTCGAACGTTAAATTTCGAATGCAATCAAATGCGGATTAGGGCGTCATTGTAGCGATGTCAAAATACATCTTTCGAATTTCAAAACATGATTAGGATCAGCTTATGGAAGTCTATCCATATCTGTAAACTTATTTGAGACATAATTTCAAGAACGTCAATGTTGTCAGTAGAACACATTATTACCGGACCGCCAACAGTTTTGTTTTCCCCATTCATTTAACGTCCATATTTCCGTTGCAGATCCGCCGCAGCGAACTATTCTACTTCACAAGCCGGCGGTGGTACAGAAAGGTCAGCCGGTGACCTTGACCTGTGAGGTCGACGACCCCGGCTACCCTCCCGTCAACAAGGTACGAACACCCGAGCACACGCCTCCGGGCTATGCCGGGAGTTGTTGAAACACGAGTCGAGCTACTGATGAGTTTTCCAGCCCGGCAGTAACACAATTAGCTACCCAGCGGTGCCAGATTGGTTCGCTCGGACGAATACCCGGTCCAGCGAGTAACCTAATGCCGCCAATGCTTAACTAGGTGGTGATTAAATTCACGTAGAGCGTAACTGACACGCTTGTGTTAAAGGAAATAGTTCACTTTTTAACATGGGTTTTGAACTGGAATAGCAGTTCCGTAGCTTGGGCTGAGACGAGCATAAATCAGGAGCTTTTACAGCCCAACGATCACCCTAGGCAAAGATATTCTATTTCTCGTCCCGAAAAAGGTGTCTTGCGGTGAGGATGTGTGCCTTGCATATATTTCCATCCAGTATGAAAAGAGCATGGGTCCCGAAAATTCTTCAGAAACTAGAGAAATTATCTACGAGAACTCTAGAGAAATTCTCGTACTGATCAATTAGGACATTCAGGGGAACATTATCAGATCGAGCAGATCGCCCAAATGCCGGTGGCTGCAATAATTTCTCTGTTTCTGAAGAATTTTCGGGACCCATGCTCTTTTCATACTGGATCGCGTGTGCCTTACAGAAACTGAAAAGTTCTTCCTATATCAAAATATAGAAAAAAAATCTTTTGTTACAAAAAGGTTTTATTTTCTTTGCTGATTATTTTGAACATAAAAAATCATAAATCGTTGCAAAAAAAATAATTTCGTGAAAGTGAACTATTTCCTTTAACCCTCGCCCATGTAGGGGGGGGGTTGGTGCAACCCCGTTACCCCCCCCCCCTGAGGTTTTTCTTAGCTACACGCCGAACCGTTTAAGATAGCCTGCTCAAATTTTCAGTACCCTTTGGGGCATCCTTTGCGCAACTTTTGGTAAAAAAAAATTTGTCAAGGTCATGTCAGGTCACGGAGTTATGACGTCATAAAGGGAACAACCTCCGGCCAGATTTACGCTAAATTGGAGATTGCTTCACATTGGCATAAATGCCGACTGACCTGACACACTGATGGATTGTTTTAGAATCATAACTGGCTGATTTGACATTGGCACAATGTCCGTTGACCTTTTCAAGGTTACTAAAGGTCAAGGTCAGGTCAGTGACCTCGGTTGACCTGTAATGACTTCTTGCACTTGTATGCCTTTTCGGGGTATTTTGATGCCCTGAATTCGAATTTGCTATCCATTTCAGGCATCGTCGGTTGTTTCTTGTAGTTCTTTTGGGTCAGGGTCAGGTCAGTGACGTCACACGCCTGACGTGACTCAATGCACAAATGACCTTGCAGACTTCCGATGCTCCCAACGCATCATTTTTAGAGTTATGACATCGAAATACACACCAAACGATAGAGAATTGATCAAGGATCACGATAGTGAAGGTTTCAAGTCGATACCTCTTACCGTTTTGCCGCAATCGGCGCGGAAATCTGAAAAAGGTAGATTTTTCCGAAAATTTGACCTTTGACCGGTCATAAGTAGGTCAAATGTTGACCTAGGACCACAAAATATACCACCAATCGCGAGATCTCGTTGAGAGCAATCCGTTGGTCTTTCCCGCTAAGCTCTACGACGCTCCGTTTTCAAACGCCAGGGGGGGGGTCGCACCAACCCCCCCCCCCCCCTGCATGGGCGAAGGTGGCAAAACACCGTTTACGGGCGAGGGTTAAGATCCGAAAAATTGATGACAATGCATGTGATACCCTTGTCAGCAGCCTTTGTGCAGATTATAATGCTTGGTTCATTCTTTTTGTTTCGCATTGCCTACAGAGGCAATAAATCCCTGCAGGTTTTACCTATCGCAGCCATAATGTAGTACGCGCGAATGTTTTATCGTATTTTTAGTTATTTCAAGCGTTACTGCTGAAGATGACAGGCTCATTCAGAGTTGCGATGTTCGTTGCCGCCTCCAGTAAACATGTTCTCAAACATGTCATTCATCTTACAGTGGCGACCCAGTGCAATAATTGATTCGGTCCAAAACACCCACCCAACATTAACCGTGCACCAGTGCATCACGTGACCGTCTCTCCGCGGCAGTACCTGTGGATGCGCGGCAGTCACGTGATCACGGACATCCGGACGCGCCAGTGGCGCATCTGGTCGGCCTCTCTGGAGGAGGACGCGCGCTTCAGCTGCGTGGCGCTCAACGCGGTGGGCAGCAGCGCCGAGGGCACCGCGCTGGTCGACGTCCTCGGTGAGAGATGGCCCCGGCTAATGGGACCGAGCCGCCAATATTGTGCGCAGCTACAATGGTGATGGGCATGCGACGCGTATTTGGTGATGTAGGGAGGGATGGGTGGTGTAGGAATGGGTGGGATGGACTAGAAAAAAAAAACTGGGAAGAAATTGTCTGGATGGCTCGAAATAGGCCTCAGATATTTATGAGTTTGACGGTAGCGTCGCATGTCTGTGTGAATTTGGTACGACTCGACTTCTGAGCTGTGCCATATGGCGAAATGATGGCTTTGACGTGACTGAAGTGAAATATGGTCTGAGCCAGCTCTTAGCTGCATAAGTCAAATGAACCGCAATGTCACCCATAATGCACGTTTTTCACGTGTCTTGCTGCCAGTCAACTGTCGGGGACAGATGGCCTTGGCGACCGTTTTTACATGTCTTTATTTTGACTGAAAGTCTCCATATAATGCGAGGTTAAAAGAACATTCATATATGCTTAGCTAGTGACGATCCCTGAAGAGTTGTCATACCTCACCGTTCTCCCACGATGGAAGTGGAACAAACCAAGAACAAACATTCATTGATGCAAAAAGTTTTTTTTTTTGCGAATAGATACCATGCGCCACGATTAACATGGTTCTATCTATCCAGACAGATGTCTTCTCTCCGTCTTTTATTGGACGATGTTATGTACGACAGCAATATCTGCATAGATCCGTACGGTCATTGACCAAGGTCATGGCCGTTAGCTCAGTAGGGCCTAGGAATGGAGCTAGAGAGAATCATTATTTAGGCACTAGGCAGTAATTTGTGAATCATATTTGCATCGCAGACGTTTTCAGGTCTGTCTAGGTATATAATTATATGGTCATGGATTTCCGTACTTGATTCTGTCGTGTGCCATTGACCATGACTTCCTTTTCCAGCGAAGCCCCAGTTTATCGAGCGCCTGCCGCTCTACCTGGGCGCTCTGATGAACTCCTCCTCTATCTCGGTCACGTGTCGGGTCGAGTGCTCTCCGCTCTGCAGTCTTCAGTGGCTCAGAAATGACGAGGTATGTAGGGACGGCAGTTCTATCTTGTTTGCACCGTATCTACTTGTGCTTATGACATAAATTCGAGATGCCTTGCAATGATTGCAAAAAAAAAATCAATTACTCTGTAATTGTAAAAGGATTGCGATTGAGCCCATAAATGTGACGATTCAAACGAATTCGGCTTAAAATTGCACCCATGCACAAAATGGTTAATGAGAATGACGGTACGGATAAGTCGTTTACGATCGAACATCAAAATAGGCATAATATTTTATCGTGATCCGCGTCCTACTATGCTTCAACAAAGCATGATTGGAACCCTCAACTTGATTGCAGGTAATCAGTGCCAGTAACCCGCTGTACTCGATCAAGACGAGCACGCTGGACCCCGACCCGCGCACCAACGACCTCGAGTCGGTGGTGTCAACTCTAACCTGGAACATGTCCGCCTGGCCGGGTCAGATGCTCGACCGGGTCAAGGACAACGCCAACTACACGTGCAGGAGCTCATCGAATGTGGTTGGACCGGGAGTCAGCAGCACGACATTCTTCACAGTCGAGTGTGAGTCACTGTTGACTTGAGTTAGGCCATAGCAATGAAGCAATAAAAACGGCACGTTACTGTGTAATTGCGTAACGGATCAAAGTTTCAACGTGGTGCTAGCTATCTGTTCTGGAAATGTCAGTTGTCTGTTGAATATCTTATCGTTTATCAGCCGTAAGCCTTTTAGTAATCAGGTATTCATCAGGATACTCGACAATGCTGTCATGAAAAATCCTCAGTAGAAATATAAATAAAAGCTGGCCAAGCTCAAACTGTGCCAGTGAGACTGCACCCCAGGCCGCGTCGCGTCGGGGTTTCGTGAGCCCGTTTTTGTCACTTATTGAATTTTCCGACGATCGCGTGTTGCATGCCTATTGCAATGCCTTCTGGCCACACACGGCGACTCGAACAAAGCAGCCATTTTCGCTGAGCTAATGACAAGGTCTATCACCACTAAAGGCACCCATGAATTATGCGCATAGTGAGGCGCGATTATGTTTTAATTGATATAGCCTTTGTTCATGTCAATCCAACAAATAGCTCGTTCCATTAATTTTTATTCACCAGCGCAGGACAACAAAGGATAGTTATTCATACCCTTGTTCATAATAATGATTCACCAAGGATAATATATGACCCCGTTGAAAACGCGATGGGACCAGTTGAAAATACAATCCACAAAACACAACAAGGTCTTCAGCAGCACGCAAGAAGCCAATTTCGAATGATGCACATCGTTCGATTGTTGAGCCCAGCTGTGGTCTCGGGGGTCCCAGTGCTCCGCCGTTTCGTTAACCCCCCCCCGTGCCTCTCCCGCAGACCCCCCTCGGAACGTGACGGTCGACCCGGCAGTGGTGAACGTGCGGGAGAGCTCCACCCCGGTGGCGGTGCGGTGCACCTCCAACGCCTTCCCAGAGGCCAGCTACGTCTGGACAAACGGTGAGCTTGCCTAGGGGGAAAGTTACAGGTCAAACTAGTGAAATGTAGGAAAGCGGCAATTAAAATAAATAGGTACGTAATAAATAGGTAGGCATGCAGAGAAATTATTCGTTCGTTTGTTTTCTAACAGAAGAAAATAGTATTTCAACAAGTTCCTCACAGCGTCGCTAAAAACCACGCTAAGCTAAGTCGTCATTTCGGTGTTTTCGATGCCATTTTCTATAACCTTAGCATTTTCCATTTCGTTTAAAAAGTTTCATTTATGACAGCAACGGCATACTAAAAGGTCTCCTCCGTTCAAAACATCTTCAAACGCAATCCCCACTTTATGAGATTTGCATTAAATCTGAATAAATGGCCCGTGAAAACACAGGTGATACTTGTGATCCAAAGCACTTCGTAAACACTGTTCTCCAGGCCGCTGTCGATAAGCGGCAAAGCAGCTGATTGGCTGTTATGTCAGGCCGCTAACCAAAACCCGGAGAAGCGTTCAGCCGCTAATCACGTGTCCTCAACAGATGTGACGTTGAATGACTCGTCGGAGCGTGCGATTGGCACCCATTGCGTCGGAAGTGGCCTCCGCATCCACTCCCTTGCCCTCCGGGGGTGGAAATACATGTTGACTTACCAAGTCATTCAGTGCCCAAACGTTTGGCCTGTTCTGCTGATGACAAGCGCATATACCTACCAACACGCAAACGTATTGGGGTGACAGGAATATGGACGCTATAAAAACTGGTTTTTGTGCAGTCGTTTTTTATGAAGAGAACTTCATTAGCGAATGCTTCTAAATTAAACATCACTCGGCTGTGTGTATTGATCTACATAAATACGGCAAATGACACGCGTTATTACGTTTTTTTTTCTCTCTCTCTTTTATGTCTGGCCCACTAACAGGCGCTTCTTTGCCGTTAAGTCTCGTACCCCCCCCCCTTACCCCAAAGCCGCCCCAATCTGACCACTCTGACCTCTTCAGCAGACGGTGATGTAGTCCAGAAAGGTGACCGTCTCCTCCTAGACCCCGAGGGCAGACTGCGCCGTTCCTCCGGCGGTAAATACGTCTGTCACGCCCGGAACAAGCACGGCGTGCTCACGGCGACTGTGACCGTACTGCTGCAGTGTGAGTGAGCGTTGAGAGGGAGTGGGGAGGGGAGGGAGTGGGTTGAACTAAACGAGACTGGGGAATGGGGAGTGACGATTGTAGATTGCGTACTGCTGGAGGAAGAAGTGGTGCTGATTATAAATTCGAGGGTGGATAGTGGACACGTAGTGGATTATGAGATTATCGGTGAATGTATAACTGCCTTCTCATCATTTTTTCCTTTCTAGACAAGCCCCAGTGCGCGATCCGTCAGACGGAGGAGGACGGGGAGTACCTGCTGCTCTGTGAGGTGGACGCCGTGCCCGACGACGTCACCTTCGGCTGGTTCTTCAACAACCAGACGCTCAAGGGCGACATCCACACGGAGGGCACCGTCAGCACGCTGATAGTGCGTCCGGGCAGCGGCGACTTCGGCACCTACTCGTGCCACGTCAACAACACGGTCGGCGCCGGCGTGCCCTGCGAACTCGACTTTACAGGTGATTTTAGATGAGGTCGAAAAATTTAACGATACATAATAACGATATTGTTATAGGTAATGATATATTTTAGCTACATAGTTGCTTGGTGTCATAAAAAAATCACCACGGCGATGCCAAGTCAATACCGGCAGCCGAACACAAGAAAAGAAATAATCGAGCACACAATAGACAAGGATTCATCATAACTACAACAAGCGGCACAACACCGCCTAACATTCCTACTTTCTGAGAGTCGCATCCCAGCCCAATGCGCACATTCATCGCCGCGGGCTGCGCCGTCAGCACTGGTGTTCATCAAAGGGCAGTGCAGCTGGGGCGCTGCCGTGATGTCTGCTGCTTTGTCGATTCTGTCTAATTAAGGCGACTTGTCCGAGAGTGGCGGAGCGTCTCCTTTGGACGCGACTCGGCCGCCGCTGCTGGTCGTGTGAGCCGCCGATTGATCTAATGTATTGACCGCGAGCTGTTGGGCGGCCGGTGTCACGCGCACTGTTGTTAACGGACGAAGGACGTCGAAACTCGAACGGGAAGGTGGTTGACTGGTTTGACAGGATGCGATTGATGGTAGAGTTTGGACAAAGTATGATCGTGATGTGTTTGCACAGGTTGTGCTTCAAATTGTTTAGCAAGTTAGTTTAGTTCGGCTTAAAATCGCGTGCACACTGAAAGCAATTGTTTGCTGACTTTGCAGAACGCACGCTCGCACACTGGTGATATGATATTTGCAAACTTTCTATCAATCCCACATCAGGTAATAACTCTTCTCGTAAACCTGCCGAAACGGCTAGCTACTCATACGCTACTAAACAACGCTGTTACAACCGGTTAACGATTTCCCTAACCTGACCGCAGCTGTAATCATCACGCCTCCCAGCCACGCCCTCGGTCCCCTATCGACCATACCCCACTCCATCCGCACTCTAAACCTCGGTGACCTCTGACCTGACCCCTGCGCGTGCCTGCAGGTGTCGGGGACTGGCGGATCGACTCGGACCAGATCAGTGTCATCATGGTAGTGACGACGGTGGCGGCCACGGCGGTGACCGCTGCCATCGCGTGCGGCGTGCTCTACCTGGTCTGCCGGCGGCGGAGGACCAAACACAACTGTGAGTATGGCGGCGGCAGACCAAAGACAGCTGTGACTATGGCGGTGGCGGATCAAACACAGCTGTGAGCAATAGGTTATAAGGCCCACTGAGTATGGAGCTGGCGAACCAAACACAGACCTGTGAGTATGGGGCGGCGGACCATACACAGCTGTATGGAGGTTATAAGGACCTAACACAGCGGTGAGTATGGCGACGGAGGACCAAACACAGCTGTGAGTATGGGGCGGCGGACCATACACAGCTGTGGCCTGTGAGCAATAGGTTATAAGGAGCCAGGACCAAACACAGCTGTGAGTATGGCGACGGAGGACCAAACACAGCTGTGAGTGTGGAGATAGCGGGCCAAACACAGCAACCGGGTCAGTTATATAGTGCGTTCCTCGAAAGACATTACGAGTAACGAAGGATGTGATCGTAGTCACACTCGTGTGACGATTATTTTGTGTTCGTTCCCGTGATGCTCGTGGTTACTCCTGTGACGTTTCTGATCCTCTGTGACGTCTGTTGTTGATTATATGACGCCCGTATTCTCCCGCGTGACGACCAAGGATCGCCCAGGTAGCTTTTTTTAGCCAATTTGGCCGTATTGGTAATTGGCCTGAACATACATGACCTTTCCCCGAACATCATTTGATGGAGCTTAGCTGACGTATGGACGTATTAGTGGGAATATCACGAGGTAGCTTTGAGAACAGCTTGGTCAAGTCGGTCATTAAAAGCGATGTAAAGCGTCTCGTGCATGGAAGGTCATGTAAGTGATATATTGTATCAACACTGCGCCTTCCTATTGCCAAGGGCTTAATTACCTTGTTGATTTTGCCTTTTTTAACTTACTTCGACGTCCCTCATTTTACCTATTATTAGTGAGCACAACACACAGTTTATACTGGATCTATAAACGATTATCGACACCATAATGACATAGTGATGGTTATTCCTTAGTCCTAATGAAATTTCGATGTTTCCCCGTCACTCAACTCAATTTTCGGCAGCACCGCCTCTTTGCGAGCTTCTTTGTTACCTCACGGCGCGTCACTTTTGCATAAATTCCCGTTCGCCAGGCCCCTCGCTGCGCGGAATGAAGCCATAACCTCATTTTCCGCCGAATTTTATGTTTACATCCCGGTAAATCAGGGTGGCGGGACGGCGTTTTACGTGCGCGGCCCGTCGCCGGTGCTGATGGGATGATCGCAGGAGCAGTGCCGCCTGGCATAACATCAGGGTGGGGGTGTCTACAAGGTCAGCGGCCGGGCTGGTTAACCACAGACCGCTCAGAGGTTTACCCACGAAATACCCGGAGGGATATATCCAAAGGCCCGGCTGAGCATTATTCAAAGTGGCCGATAAAATCGAGGCTTTCTGGCAGTGATATCCTGAAAGATGGAATGAATATTAATCGTCATTCGGGTGGAATTATAAAAGGACGATGTCTGTCGTTTGACCATTATTCTTCATGCAATAGTGATGAGAAGTTTTCAGCTGCAACTCGAAAGGCGATCTTTATCAGGATGACTTTCTACTACAAAGGGTTAGTTTGTGCCTATGGTAACAGCCGTGTTCTTTCATTTTCAGACGGAGAACCAGGCCCGATGCTGGATAGAGACGCGTGAGTAGGAGGGGTTTTCTGTACAAGTTCCCTGTTCATTTTCTCAAAGCTTAGGATGCTAACGCCGTTCTGACGAGCTGCTGCACAATCCGCTTGGCTCATTCAACACTCACATTTTGTTTCTCTGAGGCGCTGATCAGATGTAGGTAAGCATCAAGATGTATACTGTACAGTCTCTCGCGATTTTATCAATTAACTTTGGATGAATAAGCCGTCATTCACTAAAAGCCAATTGTCTTCTCATGGTTACGTGATTTCAACGTGAATGAACATGGAGGGAGACACTTCTAAAACAATAGATTGCACGTAAACTAACTCAACTCTCCTCTGGCCATTATTACATCTGTAGAGTGAATCTACTGGTATATTTTGACTCTTCTCCAGAACCAATAATCTCTGTACGTTACTAACATTCATTGTTGTGCCCAGTTACTACCAGCGCGAGGCTCGTGCTCTCATTGGTCCGTCTCTGCTGCCGGGACCACCGTCTAACCCTGACATCGCCAAACTGCCAGGTAACATCACCAATGCACGCATTATGTACGTAACGAACGCTGCCTGCATGACATCGACATGTGATAGTTTGCATGTCCTACCGTGTGCATTCAGAAGTGTACCTATATTGTATCCATGCACACTGCATTAGTCCCTGCCCTTTTGCTTACCTATATCGTCTGCCCTTCCCAATAGTTGATGGCTTATGTGATTTTGCCCAATAGTAGTGTTACAATTCTTCACATACAGCATGTGACTTTCCAAGTTTATTCAATATGGCATTGTTTTGTACATTCCGATTCATAAAAAAATGTTTAATACGTCATGCATGAAAAGCATCCAAAACATCACATTTATTAACCGGAACCAATTCGGTTATCTACTTTCTGTCTTATGACTGCCGAGTGTACACCGCCTACATTCCCGGTTGGATGTCACCGGGTCGGCATTTATACAGCTACCGTCGCCAGATCGCCCTGCATGCAGGCTTCACTGCCCAGCAGACCTCTGATTTCGTTTGTCATGCCTAGTTCCGACGGTGACTATTCCGATCACGCGGTGAAACCCGTGCACAAATGGCCCGTCCGACCCGGTGTGCACGTGCACGTCACCCACGTGCAGTCACTGAGCAAACTGAGCGTTTTCGGCCAACTGAAGACGGTAGAAACTGATACACCAGGTAGGTTATGTTTTGTTCGTTTTTTTTTCTGTCGGCATGTCGTCAGCATGGAATGAGTCAGTCAACGCACATTGTGATGATTCCTGCATCGAACCTGATACCTTAAAGGAACGTCCAGTTGCCATTTTTGCTTTCTATTGGGAACATGGAACCAAAAATGTTTAGTCGAGTGAATAAAATTGTGCCAAGCATTGAAAAGTAAGCCCAGGATTACTTCAGGTTCAAAGCAGTAAATAGCCTACTCCTTGCTATTTGTCTCTGATGCTATACAATTATACATGTACCAGCCGGGTGACCGCGACCCCACCATTGCAGCGAGTGACTCCAGCACCAAGTCGTCGACAAACGGGTCGGGGTGCAGCTCGTACGAAACGCGGCCCATCCACGAGAGTCTGGCCATGCACAAAACGCCGTCCAAGGTTTGTGGCACAAGCCTTTGTTTCGATAATGCCTGTTTTGCTTAAGTGACTGACGTGTTATAAAAACATGGGCTCTACACTAGCACATAGGCACCTTACTATGCTACTAACGAATGCATTCAGCTTAGTATGCCTCGCCATAAGCAGCTTTTTTAGCTCGGGCTTCCAACAGCGTTTTTCAATATCAAATATCTCCGACAAATACCCACGACTCTCAGATGGAAGAATTCTGCAGTTTACCTAAAGTCCATTAACTATTCCGGCCAGAGGCTCCATATGGAGCTCTTGCCGATCAGTTTTGCGACTTTGACCCGCATTAGCACCTCAATCGTGCGCAGAACTTTTCCCTGACGGTATGCCCCGTTTCAGCTAAATGCGAATTGGATGACGTCTAGTTTCCAAACTAGGAATCACAAGATGCAAATTTGTTTGGTTCCTTAAAAATAAGTCTTGAGATAGGTATGCCTCGTATTTCTGAGAAATATATATCGTTGCTTGGGGGGGGGATGGTTAGGCCCTACGGTCCATATTGACCATTGCAAATCCGGGAGGATGACAGGAATCAGGGAGAGACATTGGCCTGGGCAGGCACCCTAGTGAGTCGCCGGGGCCGAGTCCACCCGTTGACAGGCCGACCAGCCCCTCAACCACTAACTTTTTAGGATGATGCACCCGACTACGGATGGGCACCATTAGAAGCTGCGGTGCGCTCCAACAGGAGCCGCCAGCCAGGGCATTGACGTGATTTTTATCTGAAAAGTCCTTATGTCGTGTTATAACAGCTCTCATAGTCCAGCCAACGCCCGATACATAAACGCGAAATTGACACTCATGCGAAGTACGTTGAGGCTTGACTCTCTGCGGATGCCTTCCTGCTGCCTTCTTATCTGACTTGTCCTCCGCCGGCAGACATTCGCAGCGCCCCCACCTCCGGGCGGTCGGCAGTTCTACACCTCCGGGCCTCCGGGGCAGCGGCAGCGCCACGCAGAGGTGGCGACATCTATACAAAACACGCGCGCCACCCCGCGGCGAGCGCAGACTGCACATTTCGGCCGGCGAAGAGACGGAGACTCGAGCACGGCCGGTACGCCCGTGCACGACGCGTACGCCGTGCAAAGCGGCGTGCCCGGTTACGGTGCACCCAGCAGGGTGCAGAAAGACTATGTGCCGAGTGAGTACGCCGTGTTGCAGTTTTCCGGTGCTAGCCATGAGATTGATGTGTGACCATGTGATTTTATGCTTTATTTTGCGGGGTGTTTGGTAAGAAACTGACGTCCAGCGACTGTGACGAGACCATAATGACAGATTGATTCATGATTGCGAATACGCGTGCTTCAGTGTAAACTTTGTCACAATGAGAGGGTTTAGTGTCGATGTGGTGTGCTGATAATGGCTGTAATAGTTCTCTTTGTTGTTGCGTTGTGACGCAGGACGCTGCATGATCATTGGGTCAATGTGAAATGATACAGATGATAAAACTGGAAAAACAAGTAAAACACTTGGTACTTGTTTCAGCAAACATTATTGGGACTATAGCTTAAAATGAAGTCCACTTAGGAATTGTTCGGCCATCGATAACCACACTCATCCATCCCTCAGTATTCAGTGAGCGTTTTATTGACATGGCGCAGTTCTACATACTCTGCGTATGTACTCTTCTCTTTCTATTCAGTTATAAGTTCACCACCGTCGTGATTCCTGATTAAAACATAAATGTCCTGAACGACAATATGGAAGCATCATGGAAAACGTAGACGAAGTCTACATACCTAATATGCAATTGGCTTGGCATATTGCATAATTGCGCACAAACTAATGCTATGCGTCATTCTTACCAATCTTACCTTCATGATACATGACAAAACAAAGTTAACCCGCGCCGTGCTGGGGGGGGGCGTTTTTACGCCCCCCCCCCTCAGGTTTTTCGCGAATATCTCAAAAACGGCGGCGCGCAGCGCCGCCGTTTTTGGTACACGTGTTCCTACATCATTTCCGCACATGTTGTGAAAATTTCAGACCTAGGCCGTTCAAGGTCAGGTCACCAGGTCACGTCAAGTGACCTTACCTCAGAAAAAGTTCAAAGGCTCGCTATAGCTACACCGACTGAACGATCACTTTGAAACTTTCAGCGATTGATATGAGTAACAGTATGTATAAAATGTATATCTCGGATTTTTGATATCTGTGACCTAAGGTCAGGTCAATTTTGCGACCTCTCCATTATAAGTCAATGGGAGAAAATTGAAATGCGCCTCTTTTGGACGAATATCGTTCAAAACGCTCTCAAACATCGGTTCATAGGTAAACATGACACACTGAATAGGAAAAATGCACCTGTGACCCCTCTGTGTGCCCCTGAGGTCATCTCAGGTCATGAACGGTCGCCAGCAGTTTTTTGGCTATAACTTTTGATAGAGACGTGCTAGAGCGGTGAAAACACGTCAGATGTGTTCAGCTCGACGATACGGATCGACTGATATGCAACATGACCCTTTTCGGTCAGGTCATGACCTTGACCCGAGGTCAAATTTTCAAAATGACCTTTCAAGGTCAACAAATAGTTCATTCGACGCGTCTCGACGAGAGGAACACGATGCTGGCAAAAGTAATGTCATGGCGCTTATGAGTCAAAAGTTATTGACGAAAAAACGTTTTTCGTAAAAACGGCTATTTTTGGAGTTTTTGCCCTCTAGAGGCTAAACCGTTGACCTGAGGTCAAATCTGAGAACATTACTCAGAAAGGTCTGTAAAAGGGCTATCGAATGCGCTTTTCCGCGGCGCTGTAGCTCTATCGGTTCCCGAGATAGCCGTTGGCAGTTTCCAAAATGTTGAAATAGTCAACATTTTACCTTTGGTGACCTCTGGTGACCTGACCTTTGACCTGACCCAAAAAATGACCGAAGTGTTTTCGTCCTTATTTTTGACGCTCTTTCGATTGCCGCTTACCGCGTGTCGCTACGTGGCCCAGGAGCCGAGTTAGACGGGGGGCGTGAAAACGCCCCCCCCCCCCAGCACTCGGCGGAAAGTTCAGGCCACCAGCACGGCGCGGGTTAATACAAAAAATCGTAGTTCAAAATTCACAAGTCGTTACATCGTTTAAACATTCGGATCAATCGCTACATTCTTTTAAAATCGGTTGATGCTCTCACAGACCTATTTGAAAAAATATGTCAAGAACTCAGGTGCTTCATACTTCAAGGCACTTCAAAATAAAGCACTAAGTGATGGTGGCTTAGAAGTAGCCACCATCACTTGGTGCTTTATTTTGAAGTGCCTTGAAGTATGAAGCACCTGAGTTCTTGACATATTTTTTCAAATAGGTCTGTGAGAGCATCAACCGATTTTAAAAGAATGTAGCGATTGATCCGAATGTTTAAACGATGTAACGACTTGTTACGGAGCGAGCGACGCGAGCGTAGTCTTTCCTTAGATTAACGGAAATTTCTGAGTATGAGCGGCCGGCCGGCCGGCCGGCCGGCCGTGGTCACGCTTTTGCGAGGCTTATATCTCAGCAACCACTTGACCGATTTACATGCGGTAATTTTTGTAGGGTAGCTTCATTCCTTCTACCAAGTATTGGACTATTCCCGATGCATGTGGGTGACCCCTTATGCACGTGCCACGTGCAAAACGAAGAGGTGTCACTTTTGTAATTGTTGCAATATCTCGGTAACTACTTGGCCGATTGCGCTGAAAGTTGGCATGTAGGTAGGCACCCACTAGGCACTGCATATCCATGTGCCAGAGTTGGGGTGCTGCTGCACGTGCGCACGTGCAGGGGTCGTTTCCAGATCTCGAGAACGGCTGGACCGATGGCGCTCAAATTTGGCACATCGCTAGAGACCGGTTAGTAGGGTGCCGTGCACAAGTCAGCTGGAGGTACCCCCTCGAAATTTCGCACGTGCAAGGCTCAGCCTCTCGCTCGCTCCGTTAGTCGCCCCAAAAGGCGTTATACTGGTAAGTAACAGAATTGTAAAGCATCTCGACGGTCGTCAAGTTAGATGTAAGTGAATCCTAATCTATAATCTAAGATTCGGAATCAGGTGAGCCCCTACGATTTGGACCAAACTTGGTCAGTGGATAGTACGTAACGTCCTGATTACGATGCACCCAAAATCTAAGCTCGGCCCGCCATATTTACGAAGTTACGGATGTTTGAATTTCAAGGTCATTCGGGAGAGCCCCTGCGATTTCGGTCAAAATTTGTGTACGGACACTGTAGATGCTCCTCATTACGAATATCACAAAATTTAAGCTCGGCCCGCCACATTTACGAAGTTACGGAGGTTTGAATTTCAAGGTCATTTGGGTGAGCCCCTGCGATTTCCGTCAAAATTGGTATACGGACATATTACATCCTCTTCATTACAAATATCATAAAAGTTAAGCTCGGCCCGCCATATTTTTCAAGTTACGGAGTCACAAAGTTACGGAATTTCAAGGTCATTCGGAGAGCCCCTCCGATTTTCGTCAAAATTTGTATGCGGACACATTACATGCTCCTTATTACGAATATCGTAAAAGCTAAGCTCGGCCCGCACTATTTCAAAAGTTAGAGCTGTTTGAATTTCAGTGAGTTTCAAACGTCAGTAACTTTTGAAATAGTGCGGGCCGAGCTTAGCTTTTACGATATTCGTAATGAGGAGCATGTAATGTGTCCGCATACAAATTTTGACGAAAATCGGAGGGGCTCTCCGAATGACCTTGAAATTCCGTAACTTTGTGACTCCGTAACTTGAAAAATATGGCGGGCCGAGCTTAATTTTTATGATATTTGTAATGAGGAGGATGTAATATGTCCGTATACCGATTTTGACGGAAATCGCAGGGGCTCACCCAAATGACCTTGAAATTCAAACCTCCGTAACTTCGTAAATGTGGCGGGCCGAGCTTAGATTTTGGGTGCATCGTAATCAGGACGTTACGTACTATCCACTGACCAAGTTTGGTCCAAATCGTAGGGGCTCACCTGATTCCGAATCTTAGATTATAGATTAGGATTCACTTACATCTAACTTGACGACCGTAGCATCTCGTATGCTGTAGCGTAACGTGAACAACAAACACATAACTAACACAAACAGTGACAGCACATCAGACCTGAGACCACCGCCGTGTTGCGCCCCCGCACCCGCTGGCCGCTACTCAGTAGTTACGCTGACTGCTGAGCGGTTACCGAAGATGGGACAGCCCACCCTGCATGTATGTTTATTTATTTATTTACGATCAAAGTCTCCACGTGGTGGGTTTTAAAGCTTGCGTCATTGTACATTGGGGTGTCATGCATAGGTAAAAACCAGACATGTGCTTGGATCCGAGAGCTGGATCTATGATCTCAGTGGATCTCTCGACAAAATAGAGGGGTTGGATCTATAATCCGAGTGGATCTCTCGACAAAATTCAGGGGTTGGATCTATGATCTGAAGGGATCTCTCGACAAAATTTAGGGGTCAGATCTATGATCTCTGTGGATCCAGCGGGCAAAAATTTGTGGAGGACCTATGATATGTATGGATCTCACGACAACATGTAGCCAATGAAACCCTTATCCTACATAATTGTACACCTTACAGTGCAATACAATTGAGAATTATCACTTGTGGACATGGTTATTGGTTAAGACCACTTGTGATCATTAGGTATCATCATTAAATTTGAATTTAAATAAACAACATTTGCACTACATTTAAAATAAACCAAGTACATGCACATTGCTGCTTTTTGTGACCAATTGTAACTTTTTCATGACAGCACTGATGACAATCTTATCAACAAGCTACAGCCACTTTAATTCAAAGAACAAACAGTACAGACAGATGCAGTGGCAGCAGGGCACTGCAGATTTTCATTTTGGTCCCATTCTTTCTGCAACGCCAGTAGGGCTAATGCTAAAATGCCAAAATCTATGGGGGGCACTGTACCCTGGTGCCACCCCCCCCCCCCCCCCTGTTCTGCCGCCTATGGACAGATGTTAGGAAATCAAACCTGGAAGCCAAATAGGTCAGTTTTGTTAAAAATAATCCAGCAATCCACTTCTGCCAGGTATGAAATCCCAATCCAGAATGTTCATATGAGCTATTAGTATGTGCAACACAATTTCGATTTAGTAAGAATAGCAACCAACCTCTAATACTTTCCTAATAAAATTACAAGTTCAAAAATGGCATCAACTTCTTCAGATTACCTACTTTTGGCCACTTTTGGCACCGTGCCACACGTGTGGTGCCATGCTGTGCTTTTGTTATGAGAGAGCCTCCCAAAAAAAAGACAAACGAAATTCACAGCTGACGTTTTGGTAATATGGTTTTATTACGTCATTATCGTTTGACCAATGAAAAATCTTAATTTGACCAAGCCCGTAATGATTCCAAAAGATTCCCTGTAATAGGCCCTTTTAACTAATGACGTAAGATATTGTTATTCTTTTGAAAAATGAATAAAATAAAGATGCAAGGCGCACACCGCTCAGGGCCATATAATACCGTTTCAGCTTACGTTTAC